GGGGGCCTTCACCGCTGATCTTCTGGCCAGTTCAAATTTCAAGTCAAACAGTTACAGATGTTCTGGACTGGTATAGCATTATGTTGGACCGGTTTCTTTTATTGTGGAAACCCAATACTAGATAAGGACTTTTGTTCAGTGTTTTTAATGAGACATACGGTCAGACCCGTACACAGTGGCTCGTCATAATACATTAATTTTGTGCAAAATACACATACAATTTAATTATTTTCTTGTTAATGTTAATAACTGGAGTCCGCAGTGGCCGCGCAGTCTGAGACGTGGGTCTTGTGCCGCTTGGTTGCAGGAACCGTGGGTTCGAATCCCACTCAAGCCATGGATGTTTTTCTGTGTTGTGTTGTCCTGTGTACAGGTAGAGGCCTTGCGACGCGCCGATCCCTCGTCCAAGGAGTCCTACCGAATGTCCATAGATCAAGCCAACTAAAAAGTTGTGAACCCGTAAAAGGTACCGGAAAATGTACAAACATTGTTAAACAGGAAGAAGAAGAATGCTAATAACTTAATTTCAGTTGACTTATCTGCAATTATGCTGGTCACTTTCGAAGCAACATAATGTGTGTCGTAGGAGAACGTTCCTTCAGGTGAAACAGTTCAAAATTTATCGAGTCTCCAGTCTTCCTTTATATAATCTGCTCCTTTTTCTGCTATCATCATTGTCGGGGCGTTGGTATGTGCTGCAGGTAGAATAGGTATTATCGAAGAATCAATTACTCTCAGTCGTTTTATACCATGCACTCTCAATCTGGAGTCGACAACTGCGTCTCTGTCGGATGCAGGACCCATCTTACAAGTTCCGCTCAGATGCCAAATAGGAAAAGCGTAATGACGTAAAACACACCGCCAATAATCGTCAGATCCAAACTCCGAGTGTTCACATCCCGGGATAGGAATATCATGAAGCCTCGTGCCATACTTCTGGAAGGCTTGCGTCCTGCCCAGCTCCAGTACTTTTTTCACTCCTAAAAGAAGTTTGTCCATATCTGCAGATTCTTGAAAGAAATCGAAATATATACGAGGTTTCTCGAAAGCGTTTCTGGACTTGAGAAATACTCTTCCCCGACTCTTTGGTCTCAGTATAATTGGTAAAGCAGTCCACGTGTGAAATTTTTCTATAGGTTTATAAAACCTCTCATATATGTCTTCTCTAACCCCTAATATTTTATGAGCATTGGTCTCGGATGCTATACTTCCTGCACTTAATAGTAATTCGATATCTGGATCACCTTCAGTATCATAAGGGTTCTCAGAGTCATAGAAAGCGATACCATCCATACACCCGGGTACGGTAAGTGGTCCAGTGTGGTAAGACATATATTCCATAAATGCTTTATCCTTCATCACATCTCTTTCTCTTAAGGCAACTGACTGATTTAGGACAAATGTAATCGTCATCAAACCGATGTGGTCCATAAGGTTGTACCCCACTTTTAGGTCTTGAAGCAAGGGAATGTCTAACTCTGAAAGGTGCTCTACAGGCCCTATTCCAGACAACATTAAAAGTTTTGGAGAATTTATGGCTCCAGCGGACACTATCACTTCTTTCCTAGCACGCACAACATACTTCCTCTTGCCGCTAAAGAACTCCACACCGTATGCAGTCTTGGTATCACGTTCTATCAGAATATTTGTTACTAAACTCCACTTTTTTATGTGCAGATTCTTTCTGTTTTTAATAGGATGTAAAAATGCTCTGGAAGCACTCCATCTAGTACCATTTTTCATAGAAGCTTGCAAGTAGCTGAAACCCACTTGAGTCTCTCCGTTATAATCAACTGTCCTGTAACCCATCGCCCTACCAGCCTCCAGAAAGGCATCTGCGAGAGGAGTATGGTATGGAGCATAACTTACGGGAAGTTCTCCCCTGGTTGAATGGTATTTGGTGTCTCTCCTCAAATCGGGAATTGTGATATTTTCAAGCTTGAGGAAGTACGGAAGAACATCTTCGTATCCCCAGCCTGGGTTACCCAATTTCTCCCATAGATTATAATCGTGTCGATTTCCTCTAGTGTATATCATGAAATTTATCGTACTGCTACCGCCCATCACTTTTCCCCGTGGCAATAAACATTGTCTTCCTTTCATTCCAAGGCATACATTTTCAGATGGTTCCAATTTGTATTTCCAGTTAGCTTCGGAAACCTGCAATGGTGTCACAAGCAAAGGAATGTCCATGACATAGTTCTCTTTGCCACCAGCTTCAATTAAGAGTACGTTCCAGTGTGGGAATTCACTCAGTCGGTTGGCTAGAACGCAGCCCGCTGACCCTGCACCCACAATTATAAAATCGTATTCAGGAAGAATGTTTTTTTCATCTCGCGGCTCCTCTTCAAAATGTTTCGTTCCCTCTGCTATGAAATTCGTCACAGCTCTTTTGTGTTCTTTGAAATAATTAATAACATTTTCTGCCAGTCCACCTTTCCTGTTCCAGCTTCCAGAAACTAAATCCAGCTGGACACAGTTGATAAGTAATAGTAGAGTTCTGATCTTCATAACGCCCCAGACCTGCTTCATAGATTACCTAAATCCAAAGATTAAATTCTTGGTTAATTTTGTATAGTTCATTCTTTTAAATAACACTAAAATTACATCCACAAGAAAAGTAGGAAACTTGAAGGAATAAACCACTTAAAATACCTGAATTTTGGTAGAAAGATAATATTAAAATCAGTAACACATACTAATAATGTAGTAAATTATAATGTTATTGAAATTATAATAATAAATAATAATATAGTATAATAAAAATGTATAATATAAATAAAAATAAAAATATATAATATAAATATATAACTAAATAAAAATAAATGAAAATAACAATAAAATAAAAAAATAAAGAAAATACAGAATAATATTAATAAAGAGGATAATAGTAGAAATGTACATTAAGAAAAGTTAAGTGGACAATATCAAACTTCTTCAAGGGAAAGCCCACTTTCATACTTTTGCAAACACAGTAATGTGCCATCGCCTTTCATAAAAGGCGGGGAATTGTTGACAAGCTTTCGATTACTAGTTTATTAAGGAAGGCTCTGCTCAAGGCCACTAATGAGTTTGTTGCATTTTATTTAATATGTTGGCCCACAATTTGTTTGACGATTATTTCAACGACAGAGTTTAGATACATCCAATTGTTTGTGGAAATGAATGACAGTGAATGTCTTGTCAATAAAGATATAGACGGAAGTGATAATGGAATATTTGACGGTATTGTCACAAGCACCCACCACCATGCCGAATGAGACGAAAAGTTGAATAACAGTGTAGTCGTCGAAAGAGAACAGTTACTCCAGTTCTAAGGTCTGGTACCTGAAATATCGAATGTAATTTGCGAAAGAACAGAACATTGTTGAAGCAAATAATTAGTTGTAGCAGTGAACAGAATAAAATCTGTCTTGTCTTGAAAAATCCGCAGTTGAAATCACTTACATCGATTACGATATCTTCCCCGAAGTGTCTGAATGTATTAATAAAATTTCATGACCAAAATTTTGAATGGGCAAACCTCCCTTACGTGTCAGTTATGTAAATCCTAACGTGACCGTTTAAGGCAAATATTTATTGCATGTAAAACCTTCTGTAATGAATAACTATAATTTGTCCACACATCGTACATGTGGGTTTCTCATGAATCTTACAACAAACAACGATTGTCCCCCTGAACTGCAACAATAAATTTAACTTTAACGTAGGAAATTAATTTAAAATATTAATTAGATTTACTTCGTGCTTCAAAGAGTTAAGCAATTAAATCATTCTTACGTAAGAGCAAAAATTATGTGAACGGTCTGTGACCAAGGTTCATCATCCCTAAAGATGAAACTTTGTTAACCATCTGCATGACCACACGATGTCACAGTCCAGAAGACTACAGAGGAATTTTCACCGTCTTGAGAGAAACTAATCTCAGGAGCATTAAATAACTTTTAGTTCTTTCAGAAATTATACATCGTCTTGATTTGTTCTAATAAAATATAAAAATTTGTACATTGCGTTAATTTTGTGGAAAAAGATGTTAGCTCTCTCTAACAGACTGTCTGAAACTTGGGTTTTTACTATTAAACATGCTTTTGGCGTTTTAGAAACCTTATGAAGAAGAATAGGTAATGATCAAATAATTTCAATTTATGTAACATTATTAATTAATTGTTATTGGAAACAATTTCGTAGATCACACTGTACGATGAACGTCGAATCACCCAACTGCTAAGTAACTATTCCTTGCTGAGAAGTTAGGAGTCCCTCATCTAGTCAAGATATTTTCCGCTTTTATGGAGAACAAAGGGTCATTATATAACATATTCCTCGTTCACAAATTTTAGATATATGTCTTTAACAGCTTATGTTTTTGTTCTGTAACCCTATAATGTGTTGTGATAAGTGTACACTATGAAGGTCTTCATTATGGATGTAATTGATCTTGCAGAGACAACTTACAGGAAAGTTACCTTACCGGTGTAAAGGATATTGTGGTATCACTCTCAAATACGGCCTTATAAGCGCTGAATTTGTAACCACTGTATTCACTGTTGAGATAGTCCATCAAGAGCATCACACAAAACAACTTCGGTTCACGTTTGCAAGCGTTCTTATATATATCTGTCGACTGCCCTCATTGGCTCATCTTGAATCTGTTATATCAGCGAGACAACGGTACACATTCCGTGCTGGGCATAGACGTGTTAACATGAACCGTTAGACTGTTTTTTATGAGTCTGCGGTAAGACTGTGCTGACTCCTAGCATGGCTCTTGTAATTTCAGCAGTTCACGTTTCCTTCAGTTTGGGGGATGAGGTACTTTATATACCAGATATAAATTTTTCCGGAATAAGGTGAATGAATAGTTGACATATTCAGTTTTCTAACTAAGTAAATCTCTGAATGTTACCATTTTTCATCACTAGCTGTACTCTATAGATACATTTCGTTGATTTACCGTTCTTTTTATAATATATTGTGTTTGTTAATTTTGTTGTCGTAATAAAATTTTAACTTTAAATGTCACGTTTATACAACTTACAACCAAGGCTGCCTCCTTCTGCAGTTTTTGTTGTTTTATTATCTTCCTCTGCCAACGAATGTGCTATCGCCAAATTGTGCTTCTTCGTCGTACGGAAATAGTTTTCTTTTAATATCTGCGAGAATATCAGGGTTCCAAACATATGTACTCAAGTTTTCACTAATCTGAATCTATCCTGAAAATCGTAGTTGAATAATACCGTCACAATCCAGCTATTCTGCCAAAGAAATTATATTGCATGATTTTAGGAAGGAACCAATATGACATTCATATTACTATTACAAAAATTACTCGCAAACAATAAGGAATACTCTTTCAACTTGCATTTCAAAAGGACAGTACTCATATTACAACATAACATTTTCGCATTACCCATTGTCTACTATTTAAATTAAACTAATTATTATAAGTAAATTAAAAATTCTAAAATTCACTATATTTCTGTCGTGTCTACTTTTTCCTTTATCAGGAGAGGACATGACAAGATACATACACAGCTGGATGGTTAAACAAACCTAGTCTGCATTAGAAAATGTATAATGTCTAAATAAAATATAATAATACAATTAATATATTTTCAAAAATTTCTATATAGATTTATTTGTTTATTTCTGTGTCCGGCAACTCCCGTTCGGGTGACAGTAGTCAGTGACCCCACTGATCTTCACATCTGTAAACATAATAATCCTGTTTTCACTTCTTTCCTTTTAGCTGTGGAATTTTCCATAATCTGACCAAAACATTAAAATAACTTTTTTATAATCAAAATACCACCTTAAATTACAGATTTCACTTGGTGGTTTGTTAGTTGTATAGTTAGTCAGGAAGAGTAGACATATTACTTTCTCCAAACATTTTCTTGTAAAAGTTAAATATAGATCGTTGTATGATAAATAACGCCTATTCCACTATGGATATGAAACGGTGCCCGGACTGACATGTGTTCTCTTCACTGTAAAGCAACGACAGCTGGGCCATCAAATTTCGTAAAAATTTTCAAATGACTTTCCCTTATATAATTTTTTTATTTATTGTTTGAGTTTATTCAATTTTCTGTAAATATTTTTGAAACATTCCAAGTTCCGAAAGACTGTCAATGACGAGGCTGCAACTGGTAAAAAGTGCATAGCAAATACTCAGTGTGTTGAGACAACAAATTTTCTGTGAAACTTGCCGCTTGTAATGAGGGAATGTGAAATATCTGTCTTCTGCTGTTGCACTAACAAGCTTATAAAGTTTGACCGTTACGCTTCACAGTGTAGCTTTCCTTGAACAGTTAGCTGCTCCGTACGCAGATCACGTTTTCCGGCAATAAGGCTTGCGAACTTCAACCTGTTCTATGTAATAAAAGTAACAGAATGATAATGACTTGCATGTCATGCAGCCCAACACTACGAGTCCGCTAAATTTTCTCCATGGAACAAAAGCCATTTCAGAATCTGGCAGTCGCTCAAGTGGTCAAGAATTTCCCCGTATTTCACGAATCCGAATTTCCATTATGACACTCACAAGGTCTCGCCAGTATGGGCCAAACGAATCCACTCGAAACGCTCAGGTTTAATGAGTCTGATTTATCACATCCTGTTACTTCCAGATTCGTCACCGAACGTAGCATCAAAATGGTTATGGCACCAAATTCGCATTCCGGAGTTTGCCAATACCGGGCGTATTACCTTACAGACCGCTCATTTAAGAGACGTGTGTGAATTGTTCTGCAATCTATATCTATGTCTTCCTAAGGGTTTCTTCTCTTGATGTTTTAGGACTTTTTCTACGCGTGCTATATTCCCTATTTATAAAATCATCCGACTTTTTAATCCGGATTTTGTTCTGCAAAGAATACAAAATACATAAAAACTTCGTTTAAAACTCCTTAACAAATAATACTTGATACGCCCCAGAAAAATGTGCTTAGTTTTCAATGTACTGCCAAATTTTATCTTAAATCTGTGCATACATTTTCATCGATATTATTGGTATCCGTTAAAAATTTAAACAATTTCCTCCTCACTATTCAATTAACTCAGTGAGAATAATTCTTATTTACTACAATATATTCCAACGAGATTTTTCTCTTGCAACTTGAATTAATTAATCCTTTATAGCCAATTGTTAGCCCTTATGCACAATCTCCTTCAACGATTATTTACTCTTCATTCCGAATTGATTACATGTGATTCTCACTATTAGCAATAATTATTCCCTTAAAGAGCGTTAACCATTTGAACTTTGTAATGGTTAAGTGTAGTTTATTCTTTCGGTACGAATTGAATTATTTACATGAAGCTTCGGCTTCAAAGGTTTTAATATATTCGTTCATTTGCTCTAATTTAAGAAATTATATGCCTTGTAACTGACGAACTGATGGAGTGACTAGAAATATTGCTATTATTTTTATATATGAAAATTATGAATGGTGAAAAAGCCGTTAAAGGAGAAAACGCCGTCCTGTTTTGCCAGTTTAATTCATCGAACTCATAAACTGTATTTTTGCAAACTAATGTCCATATCTCCAGAAGGAAAAAAAACGCTACCAAGACATGGACGTAGGTGGGAGGATTAAAATGGATCTTAAAGAAATAGGATGGGGTGGTATAGGCTGCATTCATCTGACTCAATATAGGGACAAGTGGTGGGCTCTTGTAAACACGATAATGAACCTTCGAGTTCCATGTACATATCTCATTACTTTGAAATATGCTGTATGATGTTGCATAGCGACGTTACTACACTGTTCAGCACAGAATATTCAGGAGCTCACTTGTTTTGTATTCAAATACTGACATTTTAAAATTGATCCTGTATCAACTTTAAGAATCACGTTAAAATGAACTATCATAGTAAGTATTTTAGCTCTTTCTACACTACATAAAATGTGGTTAAGTGCATGATTGTTAACATGGTAATGTATATAATCTGTTTAGTTGTCATGTGCCAACCACAATTATTTTGACATTATTATTAGCACGAATGTTCACGCACACTACATAAATTCAGCCATTAATACGACGTGTTTGCACTACAGAGAATTCATGATCTAATTTTATCTTTACAGTATCAGAACTGCATGGAAGACCTTCTCAGAGTCGCAGTACAGTCTACAATGTTTATGATGAAAATATTGATAGGTCAGCTCAATTCTCGTCTATGCTTTTACTACATACATACTAAATCGGAAATGAGACAGTATAGTTGCGTCATATTGTGATATTAATTAAAATAATCATGCTTTCTTGGGCTTAGTCAGCACAACAAGTGTGTCCCTAATAGCGCACTGCTCGATCTTGTTTTTTCTAATTTCAACGATCTAAGTGTCTCTGTTTCAAAATCTCCGATGGTCGCTCCTGATAAGTATCATCAGCCTATTGTTATTGACTTTAAACTAATATTAGACTTCCATAATACAGTTACTTTTCCTCGACGTAACTTTAGTAAAGGGGATTATTTGCTACTTTATGAGACTTTGCGAATCACTGACTGGTCATGCATTCTTAAAGAGAATTCTGTTGAATCTGCAGTTGAAAACCTCACGGCTGCTGTGTCTGAGGCTATTAACCTTGCTGTCCCTCTTGTTAAGCCAAGGAATTCCGCCTATCCTCACTGGTTTTCCAGTTCTCTTATATATTATATCAAGAAGAAAAATCAGTATTTTAAGAAATTTAAGAAAATTAAATCTGATCATGATTATAGTATTTTCTCCTACTATCGTAGACTAGTTAAAATAACTATTAAGGCTGATAGATTGGTTTGGTTGAGACGTATCGATGCAAATTTAAGATCTCAACCTAAGCACTTCTGGAAATATATCTCTAAATTCAAAAAGAATGATCAGTCGGTGACCCAAATTGTAGTTGGAAACAGAATTATTACGGAGCCTCAATTAATTGCCGAAGCCTTTGCTGACCATTTTTCTTGTGTTTT